ACTGGGGGCTTGCCCGATGCAGATCCACTCCCCCAGTGGGCGTGCCCGATGCAGATCCACTCCCCCAGTGGGTGTGCCCGATATAGATCCACTCCCGCTGTGGGCGTGCCCGATATAGATCCACTCCCGCTGTGGGCGTGCCCGATATAGATCCACTCCCCCTGGGGGTGTGCCTAATATAGATCCACTCCCCCTGGGGGCGTGCCCGATGCAGATCCACTCCCACTGGGGGTGTGCCCGATGCAGATCCACTCCCCCTGGGGGTGTGCCCGATATAGATCCACTCCCCCTGGGGGTGTGCCCGATATAGATCCACTCCCCCTGGGGGCGTGCCCGATACAGATCCACTCCCCGTGGGGGCGTGCCCGATACAGATCCACTCCCCCTGGGGGCGTGCCCGATACAGATCCACTCCCCCTGGGGGCATGCCCGATACAGATCCACTCCCCCTGGGGGCGTGCCCGATACAGATCCACTCCCCCTGGGGGTGTGCCTGATATAGATCCACTCCCCCAGTGGGCGTGCCTGATATAGATCCACTCCCACTGGGGGGTGCGTCAGAGATAGTGCCACTCCCCACCCGTGGGTGTGTCTGATACAGCGGCACGCTGTCTTGTTGTGCATTTGATAAACCTACTTCGATCCGATTGGATTTGGATGAGCACCCCCCTGCCCCCCCGCCAAGCTCTCGACTCCTGCTGGGCGGCCGGAGAGGCAGGGCTGAGACACGAACAACGCCGGGGCGCTCCGGGGGCTGGGAGGAGGTGGATACTGGGGCTCATGAACAAACCCTCCACCTCCTCCTCCGCCGACGCCCGGGTTCGGTCCCTCGGGGAAGAGAGGGGCGTGCCGACGTCTCGGGATTCCCTTTCCTCTCTCTCGAGCTCGCTCCCAAGAGACCAGATCCCTTTCTGAGCCAGAATCGCCCTGTTCCCAGACTACGAAGGGATAAACTAGGAAACGACAGGACTGTCACTGACTGCTTGGGATGTAACCGCTAACTGAGAGACTGGCAATGAACGTGGCTGTATGAGACCACTCTGTTGTCCAGAGACAGTGTCCCGCCTGGGGAACGTGTCTTTTCTCAGACCCCAGCCTGCTCTCCAGGAGACACACAGGCAGGGAGAGAGAAGCTGGGGGTCAGAGCGCAGGGTCGGCCATTTATACAGCACCCCTGGAGCAGCTGGGGTGAAGGTGCCCCAAGGGAGTAGGATTCCTCTGCTGGGCCGCGGGATTCGAACCGGCAACCTCCCGGCCACAGGCACAGGTCCTGAGCCCCGCCCCGCCCCTATAAACCAGTGCTCTCCGGCTCGCGCGTCACGCCTACACGCCTACACGCCTACACGCCTACACGCCTACACGCCTACACGCCTACACGCCTACACGCCTACACGCCTACACGCCTACAGACAGACACCTACACACACACACACCTACACACACACACACACACACCTACACACACACACAGCGGGACTCCCTCCTCCCCAGCGCCGGCCCCCAGCCTCACCTTCTCAAACTCCAGCTTGATGGGGGGGGTGAAGTGGGTGGACACCCACTCCGCCGCCTCGCTGCCCACCTCCATGGCCTCCTCGACCGTCTGCACGCCCAGCTTGACCATCACCGAGTCCGTGTCTCCGTAGATGACCTGCAGAGAGAGAG